ACCAATGGACCAAATCCCAACTCAACGAAGTGGGATTGGCCATCTGGGTCGGCAGAATGGACGCAATGCATTGGCGATACGGGCATGGTATCGGACTGGCAAACAGATCCTGTTATTCAGCGATCCATTGGTAAACTGTTTGCTCCCCGTCAGCCGAATGAAGATCAGGCTACGTTTGATGGTAGGGTGGCGGCCGTACAACGGCTGATCAACCCTCCCAGTCAGCCAACACCCCGAAATCGACAGCGTGACCAGAGCCAGCATAGAGTGCGGCCCGACGAATTCACTGTCGATTACGACGCTGCTCAGAATGGACGGAACGTAGGATCGAGCCCCGACCACATTCGTCCCCTGAAGCTGGAGGGAGTAACTCCAGAAGTGCCCTCCTCGACGCAAACACTTACGTCGAACCAAAATAGTCGCAATGTGACAAGAGAGGCTAGTCAGGCCAGTGTCCACTCGACCTCCTCTCAGGACGTGAACATTCGTCGAACCGTTGCGACGAGGGGCTACTCTAATGAGCCTCATGCCATCGGGACTGTGGCCCACGGAAACGAGATTGATGGCAGTACAATTCGCCTCGATCAAACTAAGGACGTACGGCAAAGTAATATGTCTCAGCCCACTGCACTAGTACCGTACATGCGTGCTGCGCGAGGTGCCAATGGCGGCAATCCAGGCGGCGACCCCTCCGACGATGATGACAATCGTCGCGGACGAGGTAATGATGACCGTCGAGACCGTCCTCCTCACCTACCTCCAGACAATGGCCGTAGACCGCTTCCACCGGACCGTAGGCCTGTAGGACAACCTACAAGTGGCTCTGGTGGTGACGGCGGAGGCGGAGGCGGGGGAGGAGGCGGGGGAGGAGGCGGAGGGGGCCCAGAAGACTCCTATAACTCCGGTCGACGTCAACGACGAGTCGCTGTGGTAGTACCTACAGGTGGTGCAGGGGGCGGAGGGGGCGGAGGAGATCCACCCGGAGGAGGTGGAAACCCTCCTGGGGATGATCCCTCTGATGACAATGGAGATAACGATGACAATCCCAGGAATATCGGGCGTCGTAATTGGCAGCGAGCAGCTACTCCCGCGCACGAATACGAAGACGAACTAGTAGAAAAGGCGTTGATGACGATACGTAGTGCGCGTCGAAGGGCTGCACCCTATACTCCGGAGACACGAAACTTTAAGCCGGCCGCCAAAAGGTTATATGATGGCAGGGCGGATATACGTTTCTTTGAAAAATGGCTGTCAGACATTTTGACAGACTTCGACCTCATGGGCATAGGGCGTGATAACTATGATCGCCAGCACGTATTACTCGTATCTAAATATTTTGAAGGCGATGCCGCCGAATGGTTCTATCAGGAAGTCCAGGATTACAACCGAGAGAAAGACGAATGGACGTTCCCTGAAGTCATAGTGGGACTAATCCGTCGCCACCTCTATGTAGCCACTTCCAAGGAGGCTGACAACATGTATGAAAGGATCACATATTCAATGAAGCATGGCATTCGGCGCATGGTCAATGAACTCGAGTACTGGGGACGCAGACGAGCTGCCAAGCCCCATGAGTATGACATGAAGAAACGTATATTTGACAGTATTCCTGACTGGATCCGCTATGATTGCTTATACGTTCGACTGCTGACTCCCGAGGAGAGTCCATTGACTACAGTAGTCGAGCACATAGAGGCCCTGGAAAAAGCTAGCAAATATGAGAAGTCTACTTTCAATACCAGCAGTGTGCATCGAGGATCTCGACCACCCGCACCTACTCGCCCCACTGCTCCCCAGCGAACGAAATTGGCACAAGTCGTTCAGCCAACGATCCAATCCCCGAATATGTCGGGAACTGGGCAACAACAGCGGACGGGTGATAATGCACGATGGTCTCGTCCTCAACGAGACTTCCAGCGTCCTCGACAACCAGCTCCCGCTGAGAACAGTCGCATCATTCCTCGTCGAACTAATCCAGCTCCTCAACGACCTAATCAGGATCGTAAAGATGCTCCACGAGGAGCGACTAGTGGCTCTACTCGTCAAGCGACGAGTACGGACTCATGTTTCCGCTGTGGTCAGAAAGGACACTTCAGCAAGGATTGCCCTACTCGACCAAAAGAGCGTATGAGAGCCATGGATGACGATCAGGGCGAAGACGTTGCAGAGACCGTCCAACCTGACATAGAAGATGAGTATGGAGCACCGGAAGGTGATGGGTTAGCTGAACCTCTCGAGGAGGATGAGTACGACCTCTATAATCAGGGATATGATGGTGACCAAT